TTCTACAAACAAGGCTACAAGTGTAAAGGTAAGAGACTAATTCATTGAGATTCTGTTCCGCGTCTGCTGCACAGATGTACTTGTTCCACATGCGAGGATGCTGCCTTCAAAGCATTAGCGAATCTTTTTGATGCCTTCGATTCTCGCCCATCACACACACACACACACAGACACACACACACACACACACACACACACACACACAGACACAGCCCGTCTGCAGACAAATATCCACATATTTTGGAGTGCTAAGTAAATGTCATCGGCGCAGAAGTCATGGCAAATACATCGCACTATTTTACTCTGTCCACATGCAAAGCTGGATCAGCCCCATCAGCTCCACATACAATAGACAATTATTTGCCCTTTCAGGTCTCCGAGTGGGCCGGTGTTTGAAGAAGAAGCGGCTTCATTTCACAAACGTACATACACACAAGTCAGCAAACCTCCAACACCTCCCAACCCCTGGTACTCCTGGTCATTAGCTTTTATAAATGCACACTCAGCGTGCTCCTTTCCCCTCTGTGGATGTGCTGCTAGTGGTCTGTGCTGATGCTGTAAAGTAAGTAGTGATAATCTGCAAATGTTACACTCTCTAAATAACTTATACTACATATGCTTCCAACCAGATGTCAAGTAAAACCGTTGGAAGTGATGCCAGAAGTGAAATGCAAATCATGCAAGTTTCCATCTGCTGGAGGCTTTCAAGAAGTGATTGATTACAGCTTGGTCTTCTAAATGGGAGAAGTTGGAGTGGGCAGATATTTTACAGGCAGCATTTTTTTTTTAGGGGGCTTTTTCAGTGTTCGATAAATTAGTTTCCGTCGGAGTTTATAGCAACAAAATGTCAGTCAGTGTGTGCCCCTGCAGCTTTTTCTTTCACCGTTTGTTTTGTTTGTATTCTTTGTGAGAAGTGAATCATTGTGTTAACACCGGCTTGAGGGACATGACAGCACGTGTGTGAGTCAGAGGATGTAATGTATTCATGTTCTCCTCATTCTCCTGTTGGAAAAACAAGCAATTCAATTACCAAATCTCTCTTGTCCGTTGTTGGTTTCAGCATTAACAGCTTCCTCGCCCATTCAAGCTTTCAGGTTGACTAACTGGTGCTTATTAAATAGCTTGCAAGTTACCATCAAACATTGGAGTCGCATAGCAACTACGGGTAATTAATGCTCCTTGGGGTCTTTGAGGTCTGTGTAGCCTTCACTGCACCCTGCACCTCGCGTATAGGAGAAGAAAGAAGACACTCGCTAATTTGTTAATTAGCACAGACATGTTCTGCTCGGAGCCAGTGCAATAATTTGGGTGTTTTTAAAGTCTTGTAAAAAAAAATGTCACACAACGCTCGGAAGGTCGGTCAGTTGTTAAAAGGCGAACGTGACCACATGATTGCTGTTTTTGAGCATTTCTTTGCACTGCACATAAAACCAACTCACACACCTCCCCTGAACCCCACTCGCTCTCCCGTGTCTTCTCCACTCTTGACGGAGTGCAGTTCGCAAGTCCGCCCGGGAGTTTTCGAGTGTTCAGGCTTGTTCCATTAATGAGACCAGAGGAAGTCAATGAGAGAGCCCCATAGCCATTCATCCCCATTACCAGTGTTAGCCCATACTCAGAGAGGTAGACAGAGCGGCAGGCACATAATTGAAATGAATCACCTACTGCAGTCCACGAGCGGAGTGTGAGCGCTCCGAATGTGTGTGTGTGTGGGCAGTTGGATGTGTGCTTTGGGGCAGTAGACGTCAGACATTTAGACTTATATAAGAGGCCTCTGAGTGTCTGAATGGATGCGGTGCTGCCGTAAAACCCCTATCCCAACTTTTCACGTCGATACAACAACACCATCACAGCAACAAGTCATGATTTCCATTTCTATTACAGGAAGTGCACTTTTTTCTTTTTTTTTTTTTTGCAAAGAGTTAGATGACACCACTCTCATATCTGTCCATTAAGCACAAAGCTGTTTAGCTTAGCATAAGGATGAGGAAAAGGGAGCGACGCCTTATATTTATTGGAGAGACACATAATGTTGAACAGTTCTATTACTTGTAAATCCCTCATTATTGGAGACATTCTGGGGCTTACTCCATTTGTGGCGGCGTTATATGGCCTCAGAGCAGTTAAAAAAAGGTTTTTTAATTGCCTCAATCTCACCATTAGATAGGCAGTTCATCATGAATGAAGCTAAGTACTTTGACCACTAAATGGGGCAAGAGTTCCTGAATGAAGGAGAAAAATAATTTTGTCCTTTTAACCAGCCTATTACACAGTGAAGAGGTGGTAATGACACGGAATGTTTTAATTTTAATGTTGATAAAAGTGGTGTCAATGAGGAATTTTGGGGTGTAGTGACACCGGTCCGGTGACTCACATGTTTTCTTGCTGCCTTGCTGGATGACCCACCACTCCTCTCCTCTTAGACTCCCCCCAGTTGCCAGAACTGTTGTCGGGCACGCTCGGCCTCACCGTGTGCGTGTGCCAGTGCTCGTGTGTCTGCATGACGTGTCGAAGCACATTTCTGTCGCCACTAGCGCTCCCGTTCGCCCCGATGTTTCAGTCTACGCCCGTCCCCCTGTCTGACCCTCTCTCTCCTCCTCTCTCCCTGTCTCGCCTCCTGTCTCGGCGGTTCTCCCTCCCTGCCCTCCGACGCCGTCGTCCTCCTCTCCTCTCCCGAAACCTCTCCTTGCCGCCCTCTTTCTGCCCCCACATGAACGACCCAGCCTGTGGGGTGAACTGCCACAAGGCCTGCCGGAGCCGCCTGGCCGTCGAGTGCCGGAAGAGGACCAAGAGCATCAGCCACGAGACACCGCCGGCCCTCCAGGCCCGATCCTACAGCTTCCCTCCGCCTGCCAACACCCCGCCCAGCCTGCAGAACACTGGTGAGATGCACACACATAGACGAGACGATCAAGGCCACTCTCATATCTTGTCTGTTGATGTGACATTGAAGCTACTGCAGAAACAGCATGCTTGACTGTATGCAAAAGCACAAAAAACAAATTCCAGAACCTATATCTTGTGTATAATCCATGCAAAAGCTAAACTGTAGCAACCTTTGGACAGAGCCAATCCACCTGTTCTCCCTTGTTTCTAGTTTATGCAGGTCCCTGCTGGCTGTAGCTTCACACACGAGTCTTAATAAAAAAAAATAGAGAGGCTATTTTTCCAAAGTCAAGCATCTCATCCTTCCTTTAACAACTCCCACCTGTGAAGTTTCCATTTTTCCACAGGACATAAATGCAGCATCAGCTTTCCTGACGTCTGAATACACGCAGTACAGTTTGGCTGCCCGACTGATAAAACAGAATTTTCTTTTCCGAATCACTAATGCAGACATCCCCTCTCATAAAATTACAGCTAAAATCATAGCTTTGGGGGGATTTTTTTTAGTTCGTTGCCACCGCTGCAACACCTCCACTTTTTGACGGATGCTTTTGTCCTCCTCCGAGCGTATCGAGCGCTGACATTTGGAAGATATTCTCAAACAAAAGAGTGTAATTTGCAATGGAAATGTAATTGGCCCACCACCGTGAGGCTACTGACTCATTGTGGCAGTGTTTTTATCAGACATTAGCAAAAAGTGGTGCCCTGCCTGCTTCTGTTTTGTGTTGGCGCGAACCTGCTTGATCAGGGGGCTTCACAATGCTGCCAGGCAGATGGATTGGAATGACAAAGAGTCCACAGGCCACACATTTCTCAGCTTTAGGCAGTGTTTTGCATTTTGATTTGATTGTCCAACCTGCTCCTCATCACTTTCCTCTTGCTGTTTTCATCAGTAATCGCTGAAGAGGACATAGAGTCAGTGGAGGAAGGAGTATTTGATGTCCACCTATAACCAGGTGAGAGAAACGTTCGCTGTGAAGAAAAGTCACCCCTTTGCTTTTTTCCCCGCATTCCATCTGTGAGCTTCACTGACTGTTTTCGCTGATCTTCGGCGTTCCTAATTGATTTTCACTTGAGCTAATAACACCCTATTTTAGAATTCGCGGTGTCAGGAAGTTCAGGCGGAGTTCATTGCCTCGAGATGCATCACTTGAGGAGCCCGATCAGACTCTCTGGAGCCCCAAAAAATGTCTCTAAACAGCTTTTATCACATTTGCAGTACTACTCCACTGTAAACAGACTTTGATGTGTAAAATCAACTCGGCTCCCTTTTATTATTCATCACGGAGTAAGCATTGTGTTAGGAACAAGTAGTTTGTAGTGAAGCAGTAAGTAGGTCTTTTTGCATTTATCAGATGAGCGTTAAATAAATAGTTTCACAATGTGGGGAATCCATTTATTTGCTTTCTTGCTGAGAGTTAGATTAGAGGTCTGGTGTCACTTCTATTTCTGTCCATTAAATATGAACAAAATCTGCTCAGCACAACTTCAAAAGCTCAGTCGTTAAAATCATTGTTTTATCTAGAGTGTAAAAATGTAAACACATTTGATTTTATGGAGACTATTTCATGTCTGTCCACTGTATCCTGGACATAATGCAACCAGTGGCACTTGCTGCACATATCCAGGAAATAGTCTTTTACGCTTAACCCTGGCATATAAATAATGAGCTTCAGAGGTATTTATGAGCAGGTTTTACCTTCAAACATATCAAAAATATTTCTTCTTTAAAATTGGATTCTCCTCATAAAGAGATCAGTACGTGTAGTTTAATAAGTGTAACCACACTAATAAATAAATAAAAAATAAAAATACCTTGAGGTGTTGTCATCTAACAACCTTTTTTTTTGGCTCGCGGCCCTTTGAAAAACATCAATGCCAACTAAAAAACCTCAAATCACAGTTTGAATTTGAATATGAGTTGTGAGCAGTTCAATCAAAGAGCAGGTTTCCGTTTCCAGATTGTTTGATTGGAACATTTCTCACAAGCCCACAGATGTGAAACTAATTTGTGTTTTACAAGAAAAAAAGCAACAGTAGATAACAGGAAAAATTAAACCCCTAATCTTCTATTAGAGGCACGTTTCTTCTTCCTGAGATGGATTTGATGTCCAGGGTTTGGAAACCACTGTTTTGACAAGTAGGCAAATGACCAATTTAAATAAGAACCACATCCTACAAGTGGGCTCTGGGGCAAAAGTGATCAGTTTGTTTGTTGCATATTTACAGTATTATGCATTGATGATACAAATACTGGAATAATGAAGGTCTTAAAACTATAATTTGTCACCAGCCTTGCTTTATAAGATAATATTTGCAACATTAAGGCACTTAAAAAAAAAAAAAAAGTAACTAACCCTCTGTACTCCAATCAGTTTCTAGGCGTTTTTGGGTCCTGTAGCATTTCTCCTCACTGTGGGCTCATTTTTCACTGCAGTATAAAGTCCTGCACCTTTATGGAAACAGCACAACCATGGCTAGAAGGAGAGAGAATTTTAAAATGTCCTCTGTGTAGTACGTCACAGCTATGATACCAGAAATCATAAAAACAAAAGCAAAAATTGAATTTCTTTGATTATGTAGCATGTGCAACATTTTTCCAGGAGCCCACATGTGTTAAACAAACTGTCAAAGCATACTATATATATTTTACTACTTACATTTTCAATTTATTTCCAATATCCTGACATTTAAGCACAGTTCACCCAAAAAAATCTTGAATTTTTGTCAGTTAACTGCTGGTTGCAAATGATTTACTAATGGCTTATCATTTTTTGCAAGGAAGATTTTTTTTGTTTTTTATAGAATTTGGTAAGTATAGATGCCTTATCTCTGTTTTAACTTTTAAACAAGACATGTAGGGTGAGTTATTTTGATGAAATGGTATAGTTTCAGGCTTAAATTTTTTTTTTTTTTTGACAGAACAGTGTCAAGACTAGTTCCCAGGATTCTGCCTGTTTTTACAGGTTCTGGCTCTGATAAATTGTGTAATTTTGGCATTAAAAATAAAAATAGCATGCTTTTCAAACCTGCTGGTGAGTTTTGGGGTTCAGACGGTTCATATTCTGATGCCAGATTACCTTTAGAATACATCAACCCAATGGACAAATAGGGAATGCCGGGCTTTTGGGGGCCCATGGTGGTTTCAAATCCTCGCCTGCTTTGTCCAGGGACACTACCTGTATACGCTGTTAACACAGTGCTGATGTGTTTTCGTGTAGTATTTTCCTACAGCCTTTAGCAACACCTTTTAATGCTGAATATAAGTGTATATCACAATCCTTGCAGGAGCCTCGAACTGAAGAGCGGTTTTGATGAACAGGCCAGTGACAGTCTTCAGCTCTCAATTTTTAGAATCCCTCCTACGGTTGGTGTGCAAGAGGCCAAATCAGCGACTGTCAGGAGCCAGACAGAGAATGTGTTACAGTGTGTCAGTTTTTACAACCCCTCAGCTCTGAGGAGAAATTGCACTGAACACAAGCCAGGAAAACCTACATGCTGCCACACAGTGGACACATACCGCAACCGCACTCCCCCTCCGACCCAACTCACATGAATGTGGCGACCGATGTGAATGGAAACGTCTTTGTATGGATTCCGTGTAAAATCTTTTGCAGTCTGTGTCAGCAAAGAGTGTTAGTGTAAAATCTTACTATATATATATAAAACAACTAAATCCACAAAATTGTATTTTCTTGGTGGAATGTTAAAGTCACTGAAGTTGATAATTTGAGCACACTTTGCTGCAGGCTGTCTTTTCTTTTGAAACATAAAAGAGGTGCTGTTATTGCCAAGAATGTAAAGCTGCCACCCAGACTAAGCTACGATCTCCTTTATCTGAGAAGCTTTTTTTTTTTCTCTCTTTCTTTCTTGTTTTGTTTATCATATTGTCTTGAAATACATTTCAGTGGACCAACAATGGGACCAATTTTGATGTCAGATAAAATATTGTTGATTTGTGGTGCCCGTCTGAAGTGTGATGACAAAAACGGCCATTTTGCCAACAAAAGAAACAGCTGAAATAACCGTGTAGACAGCTATAATTAGGATGGACTCGTATTTTTTGTCATGTTTACCTGAATATCAGTAACTGTCCTATAGTTATTGCTGTGGTGTTGTTTTCAGTATGCAGTACTGTCTTGTACCAGTGCACTGATAGATGACCTATCCTCTTGCAGTACTGTGAATGTAGCAGAAACAGTGAAACGCTGCTGTCAGATGAAGAACTCATCCTTCCTAATAAATATGTTGACAGCGCGAGAGCGGGAAACTGGCTCGCTTCCCACTGATTCCTCTGTTAGTTCCTGAATGAGCTCTGAAGTTTTTGAGACTGTCATCTCGAATAGAATAATCAAAAGAATCACACCAAAACCGGAGTAATGAGGCTTTTCATTTGACAGCAGCTTATAAAAACATTTCCCTTTGAATCTATTTTAATGTAAGATGTGTTTTTTGCTGCCTTTATCCTGCATGCTTCGTCCTTCACGGCTGTATTCTCTGGCCAGACATCTCTGTTGCTTTTTTTTTTATTTTTTATGTAGCACGCCAAATTATCATTTATTTAGGAAACATGTCTTGGAATTCCAGACAGAGGAAATGTTCCTGTTTTTTTGTGCCTGTTGAGAGATGAATTCAGACTTGCTGTGCCATATTGCTAACTGCTGGTTTGTCATTGAATGAGACTCCTCCCACTGCTGGTATTTATTTTTCCTGTATAAATACATAAATGGATGCTGGTCCTTCTGTTTCACGCCTCGCCTGACGCAGGATGTTTGTTGTTATGCAGAATGATGTCATGCTATTTCTTGTTCCCAGATGATTCCTCAGTATTAAATGCAGCAGGCATCTTTCTATAATGTGGTCTGATTAAAAAATTACGTGACTAATAAGAGTGAAACTGAAAAAAAAAACCCACAAAGCTTCGTCTTGATTTCTAAAAAAAGAATTCAGTCATCTTTTCATTTTGGTCCTCATGAATCAAAAGTGTATTAACGTTGATATTCCTCCATTTGCACTCGAGCGGAGGATACTTTCCGTTTGAGCAGCTGCTTTGATCTGAAAATATTGTCTGTTTTACTTCAGATTGTATATCAGCACCATTAATACTGATAATTTCATGTGAAAGCTGGCAATTTTGGTGATTCATGTGCTACCTTGCAGATTTTCATGTTTTAATTTGAAATTAACATAGAAGAAGAATTACTTTCTCTGGGTTGGAGAAAAAACTCTTCTGGGAGCAGCTTTTCAAATTTTAAAGTTAACCCTCCCCTAAAAAAATACAGCTGTCAGGTCCAAATCAAAGCTATTTTTCTTGGTTCCTAAAAAGGGGGAAAGTTAATGTAATTGTTCTTCTGTCTGAACGTGTCCCTGCATTAAAAGCACAATTCAAAATCCAATAGCCGAGCTGAATAAAACATAAGACAAAGATGTTTAATAGAAGCGAGGTGTGGGATGATTTAGTTGACACTAGCCGCAGCGCTGCTTAATAGCGGAACATTTTCCTACATTTAATACAAAACAGCCCATTTTAATACCGCGTGTATAGCCTGTAGCACATTAAAATATTGATGCAACTTCTTCTTCTTTTTTTTTTTTTTCCCAAACTCAGCCTTTTCTCAGATTGTTTCGCAGCAACACAACAGAGAAAATGAAAAATATTTGAACTGCATCCGCTCCACTTACTCCACATTCCACAACTTCTGCCATCCTTCATGTGACCATGATCCACTGCCCTCTGCCTGTCTATTATAGACATTAATAACCAGCCCTGAATGAGCCTTGGAGTCGATGCCACATCTAATTACTCTCAGAGATGAAGTCAGTCTGGGTCTCTGATTGCCCGGCCCCCTCTCTGTATGCTCTGTTCAATGGGAGGACATTGATCTAGCTAGAGCCGGCCTTTGAGTCGGCTCATATCTCATGCAGCGCTATGATACTGCTAAATGCTCTCATGTGTGACTATGTTGACTAATGGTAAGCTGATGAACTGCAGAGGTGGTTGGAACTTGGCCTATCGACCCCCCCGGTCACAGGCATGCAGGCGCTTATGATTATGCAACTGTAATGCCTGCAGCTGCTTGCTCCATCAGCAAAAGGGTCCGTCACTGGCTGTCTTTTGTGTCTTCTTTGAGCTGCACCGAAAGAAATCCCTTCAGGAAAGGAGACACAAAAGGACAGCATGCAGACTCCACACAAGCCAACAAACGACCTTGATGATGGTGGAACTATGATGTAAGCCTGGCAATCCAAGGCGATCTTTGAAATATCACACACACACATGCGTTCCCCATATTTCTCCACCACTGTTCCTCCCAAAGCCCGTACAATTGCTCCTTTAAAGTGTGTGTGGTCATCACCCGCTGCAGCATCGAACATCTCTTTTAGCTCGGTGATTGATACCTCCCATTCAGCTGTAGAAAAGCCCTCCTAGCAGCACAGCCATTTAGCCAGCAGCCTGAGTGATATTGATCTGCAAAGTCTGAAATGAGGGAAATTGAATAGCACCGCGGCTAATTGCATAGTAATGAAGGCAGAAGGGAAATAACCTCACACATTGTTAGCAATCGCACACTGTGACCTTGATTGCTAGGAAAGGAAAGATTCGGGAGGCCTGATAGTTGCAACGTGTTCGAGCTAAGATGTCATTTGCCCTCTCAACAGATGGTACAGTTCTGTATTCAATTAGAAAAGAGATGCACTGCATGTTGAGAGGCTATAAAATATGATATTTATTCTACAGCTATTGGCAGGTATTCCTTTTAGCAGCTATAGATACACATAAAAGGTTACCGTGGATGGTGGGGAGGATTTGGCACAATGAGTAACTACATGCGCTATCGATTTTTTTTTTGAGGAGCAGATCACTCTTAGTTTTGCTCATGTAAGACTAATGAACACATTATTGATTTCATGTCTGCTCATCAAAAACTGGGAACGCGGCCAAGCCCTGCGTCGTTTTGACGTCCGCTCATCTTTTTGAACCCACCACGACACCTGCATCTGCAATGCCATCCCCGTGTGGTGCACTGACTGCAAGCATCTGGAGCTGTTAACCCCATGCCAATACCAGGTCATGGCCGCCGCGCACCACTTGGTGGCAATGTTGAGCCACTGACTGGGGTCCGCGTGGCGAGGAAGGACTCCGACCGGGGAGGTGGGAAGGCTGCCAGTGATGTGGCAAAAACAGAGCCACTGTCAGGGTTTATGGTGAATCACAATGCAGCATCACAATGCTAGATAACAGCACTACATTTCTCTGTCGTTTATATGTTAGTTCCCATAAAAATCAAACCCGGGCATATGCACAAGAAGATACATACTGTAAATCAAATGAAATGTTGCTTCATACTAGTTTTTCATAAGCTGACAGTTATCCAGTCTCTCTTTCGCCCACACACAAACAAGCTGTGGAAACGACCCTCCAATTCCAATTTCAGCAGATAGACACTGAGTTGTGTTTCATATGTTTTCGCCTTCACGGTATGCGGGTTTTTCTTGACTTTGCCAAGAAAAAGAAATACATTTGTTATTTCGCATTAAAATCTACATCCACAGACACCTCTTGCTCAATTCGAGCAGCATAAACAAAATTGACGGCAAGTACAGTAAAACAAGTCAAATAGGCTCCAGTGAAAGTGCCTCCAGAGCTCTGCTTATCTGGCTTTGTCGACATTTAAGAAGCAGCTAGGCAAACAGTCTCGCACAAAGTCGAAAGGCGCTCCGTTAGACGGCCGCGGCCTTAATTGCATTAAGCTCAGTGCTGACTCTTGTGAAGCACTCAGGACTGTAGGGGGTTGGAATCCTCATTAGAGTAGAATCAGTTATGATGAACATTGCTTTAAGAAAATGTAACTTATGCCAAGGAAACCCAGTGGGATGTGACCCAGTCCTGTGGTTCTACTGTGTAACTTAAAAAAAATAATCAAAAATTAACAAAAAAAAAACCACTTCGATTGTCAGGTTAAATTCAGTGGTTTAAATGCTCTTAGGACTTTTCAGTGACTTCCTGAATGAAAGAGAACAAGAGACAATAACCAAGGTTATGTGTTACACTTATCGAAAAGCTGTGTAAAATCAGTCTCAGAGATCTTAGGAGTAAAAAAAACAACATAAGTAAAAGAGGCTCTTTGTAAAGCGAAGCCAAAGATGGATGTGAACCTCACCCACATTGCTGATAAATACTACCCTACCTGCAAATATGAAACTAATCAGAATAAGAAACATGCCAACCCTTCACTTGGTCTTCCACTCGCTCCGCTGCTGCCTGGAGAAGTCTCATTTAGCAATTGCTGATACCAAATCAAGTTACCGCGGCTTGGAGGATTGACACAAAATCAATGGCGTTGCATCTACAGCGGGCATTGCTCGCATATTTAATATTCCTGAAGCAGCAGGACAGAGGGAAGAAGAGAGGGAGGAAAGTGAACCTCAGCAGCAAGCAAGTGTGTTTTGACTGATGGACCCGTAGATTGTATCTCATGACCCTGGCGTCACTGATAACAATTCACCTCAGACTTATCTATGTACAACCTGCACGGCCAGGTCACCACTGCTGTTAGAGTTCCCTTACTAAAAAAAAAAAAAAAAGGAAGACAAGTTTTTCCCTGGGTGTACTCCACAATTCCCTTACCTTTCATTCCCTCTGCATTTTTGAAGATTAAAACCAGCACTTTGGTGCATATAACATTCCTGCATAGAGGTATTCATGAAAGCACAGATATGATAGGCTATAAAAGTATGCATGCATAAATGACTGCAATAAAGAGCTTTCTCTAAATGTGGGCTATCATCTCGCTGAAAGGTGAGTTATATTTCATGAGTGACTCATCAAATAGTCCTCTTTCAGTCCGGAGCAACCCAACAATCCAGGGATTTCTACCTTTTGTAGCTTTTCAATCCTTCTTTCATTCACTTATTTGTTACTTGTGTGTGTGTGGTGGAGGTCACATGGCTGATGTATAACTGGAGGGCATGAAATAATCTGTCTTATTTAGTATCCTTGGGATCTTTGGTTATTGTTTGAATATAACACCAAAACTAATGACATGAAGATTTGAGAGGATTGTTAATATTTAAATTAATGCCCACACATAGAGCTTTGCTGTCCAAGAAGCGTAAAATATGTAAAACCTCCGTTTTGGCTAAATACAAATGACGGTTGAGTAACTCTGGGGCACTTCTGATCATCTCTTGACCATCCCTTTGGTACTCATTAGGCAAACACATGCTGTGGGTTATTCACTTACAGATTTAAATCATTCATGGTGGGCCTTTACTGGTGAAGCTCCAGCATGTGAAATCTAAATATATTCTGTAAGATCACTTTTTACGATCTTGCCCACATGCATGGTCAGTATTAAGAATTGAATTCAATAAAGGCCAGTGGAAAAATAACTAGATTTAGGATTTGTTGTTGAATGATGCATAGTGTGTATTTTTCAGTGGACCCCAAACATAAGGTGTGAAGTCCAAACATATTGACATCCTGCCTCATTTTGCTTTTAAAGTAACCTAGAAAATGGCAAATAACCTGCACTATGAATATTTTAACCAACAGTTAATATGATGCAGTCTGGCCACAGCTACTTTCCTGTGGTGGAAAAAGCCTCCAAATCCTGCTGATAGACAAAGCCATCTAGTTGAAATGCAGAAAAAGGGCTTCAATACCCTTGGGACGAGGTCCCAAGGTACTCTGAGGACAGAAAGACTGCAATACATGCGCTCTTGGAAGCAAAAACTTGAGTTTTGCTGAAGTTTTGGGGTTCCATAGAGACATTTTTTCTTGGCAAATCACCAGGTGACTCAGTTAGTGGAAGTAGAGCCTCGCCTAGGCTGTTCTCAGCTGGAGATAAGAACTTCTGACCTCGACTCAGGATATAGTCAGGCAAAGGAAGGACATCTAATACAACTC